CGGGCCGGCCTTTCCCCTCGGGGCGGGCTCAGGGTGTGGGCGCGGGGCCGGGGAGGCCGGTCAGGGTTGGCATTCTCCCGGGGAACCGGGTCGGAAGCTCGGTGACCCCTAGGCGGCACCCGAGGGTCAGCGCTGCGCGGGTGACCCCGTGGGTGACCCCGTGCCCCTCCCCGTCCTCCGGGCGTTGGCAGCCGCCGGCCGCGACCTCCGCGCTTCCAGGCGGCCATGGACGGCGACCCCGGGGACCCGGCCGCGTTCTCCGCGCGCTCGCTGCCCGGGGACCCCCGGCTCCTGGCCCCCATCACCAACGCGTACCTGGGCACACGCGTGTACCACGACACACTGCACGTGAATGGCGTGTACAACGGGGCCGGGGGGCACACGCACCGGGCCGCCCTGCCCAGCCCGCTCTGCGCCAGGCTGGAGGCTCCCGCAGGCCCCGGGGAGCAGCCCACCGCCACCTTCGTCCTGGACACCAGCACAGGTAGCTGCCTCTGGACCTCTCGGTCACCTCCCCAAGCTGTTTCCAGTTGAGGGGGGAGACGGCGCTTGAGGAAGCCCCACCCAGGAAAGGTGTGCATGAAAACCTAGTGTGGTGGTTCATGCTTGTGTGTCCCAGCACTGAGGAGGCTGAGGAGCGAGGATCTAGAGTTTGAGGCCAGCTTGGGCCACCCCTAGGGCCTACCCTGCAGTCAGCTTCCAGCCCAGGAGGCCACGGCTTCACAAGCTCTGTGTGTGTGTGTGTGTGTGTGTGTGTGGCGAGGGGGGGGCAGTCCTTCCCATCCTCTCCAGGATGACCACAGCTACCCCACCCTTGCCAGGCTCATTCCTGCACACCCTGGAAGGCCTCAGCTTCCGGGCCTCCCAGCGGATCTATGCCCACCGCACGCTGCCTCATCTTCTGGCCTTCACTGTGTCCATTGAGCGCCTGGTGGCAGGAAGCCCACCCATCACCGTGTTGCTGCGTTCTGCCTTCTCCCCAGAAAGCCCAGACCTGGACCTGCATCTGGGGCCTGACTTCCAGGGATTCCGGTGAGGAGGGCGCTGGGACCCTCCTGGGAGGCCCCAGAGGGAGCCTGTCCTGAGTCCCCTCTGTGCTCTGGAAGGTACCTGTGTGGCCACACACTCACGCCGGAACAGCCTGGAGGGCCGCAGCAGGAGGTTCACATGCTGTGGACGCCAGTGCCCACGGCCCTGACTCTTGGAGAAGGAGAGAAAGACAGGACCTGGGACTTCCTAACTGTGGTGGGCAGCAGCCAGGCCGAGACCCAGGCCTGCCTGGGTGAGGTCCTGCAGCTACAGGCCCAGGGCACTCTGTACACAGCTCACGCACAGGCCTGGGCCCAGCTCTGGGCAGGTTGTGGCTTGGATGTGGTGGGGCCCCTGGCTTTGCGCCAAGCCCTGCGTGGCTGTCTCTACTACCTGCTCAGCGCCCTGCCCCAGCCTGGGACCCAGAACTGCACCTGCCACGGCCTCAGCCCCGGGGGCCTTTCCAACGGGAGCCGGGAGGAGTGCTACTGGGGCCACGTCTTTTGGGACCAGGTGTGTATCTTCTCACACCTCCCGGCACCAGCCACACGCAAGTGGCACTTAGAGCACTGACTGGCCGCCCTCCTCAGTGTCAAGCTCGTGGTTAGGGAGGTGCATGGTAGATGGGAAGGCTTCCTGGAGGCGGTGGCATCTCAGAAGGAGGTTCAGGACTCTGGTAGAGAAGAGTGATCCAGGTGAGAGCTCCAGACCACCGAAGGTGCACAGGCTCAGAGCTGAAGTGTGCGGCTATGAGGACAGAGTAGGACCCTGGCAGCATGGAGATCAGGCCTGGTAGAGTCGGGGGTGTGGGCCTGGAGTTTTCCCGAGGAAGCTACAGAGACAGATGCTCAAAAAAACACTCTGCCGCTGGAGAATGGGGGGAGTGCGTGAGGAGTGGGGTCTGGGGACAAGCGTGTGGGAGGTGGGTGTCGGTGGCCTGGAGGCAGAGGAGGAGAGTGAGGGGGCCCAGGGCCCCTCCCGTGCAGCCTATGGCCATGTGCGGATGAGGCTGCAGGAGGCTGAGCTCAGGCAGGACAGGAAGTCTATGTCAGGTCCTGACTGGAGCCCCTGCGCTCACCCATGTGTCACAGGGGAGGGAAGCCCGGCTGGAGAGGGAGGCAGGCAGGAACGGCCCAGGGTAGGCCTGGAAGCAGCCCCTACCTAGAGTCTCCTTCTGAAGAGACCAGCACAGACCCTGCCAAAGGGCAGCTGCCCTGTGTGCTGAGTGCTGGCCGCCACCCTGCGTGCTGAGCGCTGGCCGCTGCCCTGCGTGCTGAGTGCTGGCCGCCACCCTGCGTGCTGAGCGATGGCTGGTGCCCTGCATGCTGAGCGCCGGCCGCTGCCCTGCGTGCTGACCGTCGGCCGCTGCCCTGCGTGCTGAGTGCTGGCCGCCACCCTGCGTGCTGAGCGATGGCTGGTGCCCTGCGTGCTGACCGCCGGCCGCCGCCCTGCGTGCTGAGCGCCAGCCGCTGCCCTGCGTGCTGAGCGCCGGCCGCTGCCTGCGTGCTGAGCGATGGCTGGTGCCCTGCGTGCTGAGTGCTGGCCGCCACCCTGCGTGCTGACCGCCGGCCGCCGCCCTGCGTGCTGAGCGCCGGCCGCTGCCCTGCGTGCTGAGCGCCGGCCGCTGCCCTGCGTGCTGAGCGCCGGCCGCTGCCTGCGTGCTGAACGATGGCTGGTGCCCTGTGTGCTGAGTGCTGGCCGCCACCCTGCGTGCTGAGCGCCGGCCGCCGCCCTGCGTGCTGAGCGCCGGCCGCCGCCCTGCGTGCTGAGCGCCGGCCGCCGCCCTGCGTGCTGACCGCCGGCCGCCGCCCTGCGTGCTGACCGCTGGCCGCTGCCCTGCGTGCTGACCGCTGGCCGGAAGCCACCAGGGCTGGATGTGGGTGGGTGGCATCACGGAGGATGAGGGCACCTGCTCAGCTCTGGAACTGATGTTCTCCCAGGATCTCTGGATGTTCCCGAATATCCTGGCGTTCCACCCAGAGGCTGCCAGGGCCATCTTAGAGTACCGAATCAGAACTCTGGGTGGGGCCCTGGAGAACGCGCGGAGCCTCGGCTACCAGGTGAGTGTGGTTCAGTGCGCACTAGGGTCCACACCCCAGGAGCAGCACACAGTGGCCGCTGGCCAGGCCTGTGGTGGGGCATACAGAGCGCACTAGAGCGCCACCCTCCCTGAACCTCTGCAAGGGTAAAGCTGGGGTATGGGATATCAGGGTTGAAGCTGACTCATCTCCACCCCTGCCCCACACAGGGAGCCAAGTTCGCCTGGGAGAGCGCAGGCTCTGGTCTGGAGGTCTGCCCGGAAGAGGTCTATGGGACCCAGGAGGTCCACGTCAACGGGGCTGTGGTGCTGGCCTTCCAGCTGTACTACCTCACCACCCAGGTGTGTGCCCCTGCAGCCACGACATGCCCACCTTGTAACTAGGTGGGGCTGGTCCTGGAGAGGCCTGTGGGGCACAGGCTTCCTCTCTGGATGCTTGGGGCATGGGCACCGGGCCTGCACAGCTCTGGGCCTGGCCTCGTCCTTTCTCTACCCCGCAGGACCTGCAGCTCTTCCGAGAGGCTGGTGGCTGGGATGTAGTCAGGGCTGTGGCTGAGTTCTGGTGCAGCCGTGTGGAGTGGAGCTCCCAGGATGAGGAATACCACCTGAAGGGTGAGGCCGAGGGAGGCGTCGGGCGGGGAGGAGGGGATAGGTTCCGGCCTCACTCCTGAGCTGAGCTGAAGGCAGTGGTGGCCTTGTGTGCCTAGGAGTCATACCGCCTGACGAATACCACTCAGGAGTCAACAACTCCGTGTATACCAATGTCCTGGTCCAGAACAGGTCAGGCACCCCACCCCCACTTCTGCCCCAACGCCGCCCCTCAGGCAGGCCCTGCCAGTCTGCCGAGGCTTCAGCTTTTGCTCTCCCCCTAGCCTGCGCTTTGCTGCTGCTTTGGCCCAGGATCTGGGTCTGTCTGTTCCAGACCAGTGGCTGGTGGTAGCTGACAAGATCAAAGTGCCCTTTGACCCAGAGCGGAATTTCCACCCTGAGTTTGACGGGTATGAGCCTGGTAAGTGGCCTTCCGCCCTGTGGAGACCCCAGACTCTGCGTCGGTCCTGGCACCCACCACCCACGTCTCCTCCAGGGGAGGAGGTGAAGCAGGCAGATGTGGTGCTCCTGGGATACCCTGTCCCCTTCCGGCTGAGCCCCGACGTCCGCAGGAAGAACCTGGAGATCTATGAGGCTGTGACGTCTCCCCAGGGCCCTGCCATGACCTGGGTGAGGGCCTGTCCCACTCGGCTCTCTTCCTTCCACACAGTGGGTTTTACCCTCACATGTTCTTTGAACTCTGACCTCAGAGCATGTTTGCTGTGGGATGGATGGAACTGAAGGACCCAGCTAGGGTGCGGGACTTTCTGGACAGAAGCTTCGCCTACATCACTGAGCCCTTCAAGGTCAGCAGAACTCCCGCCCCCTGCTCACCCCTCCTGAGCCCTTGCTGGGAGTCTCAGCAAGGTCTCAGCTCTGGTCACTCCTGCCTGACCTTGGACCGGCAGGCCTAGGAGGGCCACTGGCCTGGGCGTCCCTGCCTGCCACCTTGGCTTTTCCAGGTGTGGACAGAGAATGCGGACGGGTCGGGCGCCGTGAACTTCCTGACAGGCATGGGGGGCTTCCTGCAGGCAGTGCTTTTCGGATGCACAGGGTTTAGGTGAGTACAGTGGCCAGCAGAGTGGCCACCTCCTCCCACATGCACGTCCTCACCCAGCTCTCCCCGCAGGGTCACGGAGGCAGGCGTGACCTTTGACCCCCTGTGCCCAGCCGGGGTCTCTGGAGTGCATCTCACTGGCCTCTCCTACCTGGGGAACAAACTCAACTTCGCCTTCTCCAAGGACCACGTGACGGTGGAGGTCACAGCCCAAGCAGGGCCCCAGGCCCCACCTTTGGAGGCCAAACTGTGGCCCTCGCAGGCCGTGCTCCCCCTGCCGCTGGGTAGGTGAGGGTCTCGGCGTGTGACCGAGGTGCCCTGGCCCTGCCTCACCCCAGGATCTCTCTCTCTCCCTGCAGGACACAAGGTCTCCTTCCTGCCTTCTGCTGGTCGGATTCAAAGGTCATCCCAGTAGCTGCCCAGAAATCCCAGCTCTGAGAATTGTCCAAGAGAATCCTTAGAAGACGTCAGACTCCTGCAGAGCCGCCGGGACACCATTCCCCGCCGCCTGCGGCCATTCCCTGAGCACCAGGCCTACAGGTCCTCCACACCCACACCTGTGTGTCCCCCAGCTCCGCCCCAGTGCAAGGCTGTCTGCCGGCAGCTGAGCCCTTCCCTGTGGGCCACCATCCACCTGCCCTCAGGCTGACCCAGCACTTGTGCTCCTTGGCAGGCCACCTTGCCCCCGTGCAGACCCAGGCTTCAACCCCATGCTTCTGGTTCCTGGGCTGCTCTCGTCACGGGGTGGTAGGGAGTGGCCCGCAGAGAAAGCGGCCAGTGAGGAAGGGCATGATTAGTCACCTGCAGAATTTCTCAGGTCTAGCAAATTCTGCAACTTTAAACAGGAGCTTCTCCTCGCCTGTCATTGGAGTCAGGCGGGGCTGGTACAGGGCTTGTGGGAGCTCTTTGACTCTTTTCTCTACTAGTCCTGGGGCTTGAACTCAGAGCCTGAGCACTGCCCCTGAGATTTTTTTTTTTTTTTTTGCTTAAAGCTGGCACTCTACCACTTGATCCAAGCTCCACTTCCAGTTTCTTTGGTGGTTAATTGGACGTGAGTCTCACAGACTTTCCTGCCGGGCTGGCTTTGAACTGTGATCCTCAGATCTCAGTCTCCCGAGTAGCTAGGATGACAGGCGTGAGCCCCTGAGCCTCAATGTTCTTTGACTCTTCTAGACTCTTGAGTCAGAAGCCCCTGGCCCATGGGATGGGCAGCCATCCTCAACCTCCAGCCTATGAGAAAGGAAGGAAGTGTTGTCATCACCACAGGACAAGTCACATGGACTTCAGAGAAAGACCCTGAAGCCCCTCACTGCTCAGTGGGGCCAGAGCCAAATGTGTGGGATGGAAGACCAGGGTTCTGGCCAGCTATGCTAGGAAAGCTGTCCGTTGCCAGAGGGTCTGCCCAGCCTCTGCACCTGGGCCTAAGCCCCTGACTTAGTTTATCAGGGTATCCCCAGAATGATTGCCTTACTATCTGGGCCTGAGATTCTGGTAAGGCCAGAGCCCCTGTGCCAAATCAGCTTGAGGAATTACACTTGATGCTGGAAAAAAAGCCTCTTATCCTGACTTCTTTCTGCAACTCGGGACAGGACGTGCAGTAGCTTCCAAGCTCAAGAACCCAGGCAGGCCCTGTGTCTCCCTCCTCGCCTTTACTTCATGTTGTTGCTACTCCCTGTTTTCAGGGATGAGCCAACCTAAATTCATTGGGGAGCAGATATGGGAGAGAGCTTCACATGAAAGACCCCAGACTTCTGGGGTACTTTCGTCTGCAGGAAGGCGCCCCAGAAACCAAGACTCCAAACCAGCAGATGCAACAAGCAAGAGGAATTTATTCAGCGTTTGTGCAAATGGTCTCTCTGCCTCAGTCAGTCAGAGAGCCCCGGGCAGCTGGTACAAGCATTTTTAAAGGCAAAAACCACAGGATTAGCATAAGACACCAGGTGCTCCGGGATTGGCCCAATTTAAAAATCACCATGTACTCCAGCAATCATTTTGCTACATGGGAAATTTTGTAACACTCGTCGTAAACTGGTTGGCTCAGGGCGGATCTAGGGGGAGTGGTCACCCTGGAGGGGAGTTCACATAGTTACAGGCTTGTGATGGGTTGACCTTTGACCTAGCTTGCTGGACTGGCCAGATGGTCCTTATCTTGGGTCCCATTTGGGGAATTTCCAGACAGGAACTTAGAAGAACATACTCGTTTGTTCTTTATCTACAACTACAGACCTTGTCCCAGGGCCGGCGTCTGGACTCTGAAACTTTTTACTTATTTTCAGGGAGGGGAAGGGTCAGTGCTAGCGCAAGCAAGTTTACAGAAGCAAAATCAGCAGTTAGCAATTGTAAAATGTAACTCTAATTTTTA